TAATCGGGTTGCGGTGTCGCCCTTCGCCGCTGACTGTGATTTGTGGAGACCTCGAAAGAAAGCCGGAAACCGAAGGCTCCCGCCAGCCAGTGCCGAAAGTCAAGATCCCGGCCCACTCAACAACCCCTCGCCCGGCCTTTGTTCAGCACACTTTCAGCGCCCCTTTCTCACCTCGCCACCAATTGCAAGACGAGTCACGACAACAAAGAATCACGAAGCAGGCATAAACCGCCCTGGATTCCCACAACAACTGTTCTTCGCACTTTGACTCGCTTGGCCACGCACTGGAAGAATTTTGAGATACACGCACCGCCCGCCTGGGTTCAGCGAGACATCATGTCATACGCCAACCGACGGGTTGTCAACGTCTCCCAGTACCTGCGCGACCTCAACGCGCCGGAGGCTACTGTGGAGGAGACATACATCACGGACGATGACCTCGCCAAGGACCTCGCACTCTTCACAAATACGCAATTCATCGACTTTGAGACGGGCCAGAACACCGATTACCAGGCACCGCCAGTGAAGCCAGATGGAGTAAGACGGCCGTCTTCGGTTGAGGATGTTGTCACGCCTACCGATCCCCTCCTGGAGGACTTCTCGTCAAATCTTGATTTTATGTCAAGTGAGTTGCTTTCTCTGTTTTGAATCTGAGTGTCATTTTTGCTTCATTTTCATTTCATCTTTGCACTCAACGACTCTCATCTCATCTTGAACACGTCTGGTCGTCTTGTCCACATGTTTGAGGCTTTTCCCCGCCTCTGTCTGCGTTTGGCAGTAGGTGGCACAGTTTTCACTGAAGTCAAAGTCGTCATCGATGAACCCTGAAAATGGGTCCGCAGCCGAGGCCAGTGCCTACAGGAGAGAACAACCGCAAACCAGAACTCGGGAGATGGGACGGTATAGCGCCGGTGAGCGCCCGCCAAAGAGGAGCGTTTGCCTTATCGCGAATCGGGAGGAGAGCAAGTTGCCCCACACCCACGTTCTCAGTCTCGGTGCTCAGTCTCGGTGACCCCCATGCTCTGGGCGCCGTCTTGATTGAAGAGGGGTTGGCTTTGGGATGCGTGCCGTTTGCGTGCACGAGCGCCTGGGGGGTGTCTATATGCGCCCTGTTGGGCGCTGACAAATGATCGACGTTCCCGAGATGGTGTCATTCCCCGTGACTTACGGGCGATTGCACCATCGGCCATGGGGCATCAACAGTGGCTATTCCGACACGCCTTGCATCTGGCTCAATCCGCCCGGGCCTCCTCCCTTTTCATTGGCGACGCTGCCGTCCTGGTTCTAGCACCAGCTTTCCCTTTTGTTTTGTCTTGGATTCGCGATGTGCCCTTCTTCGCTGTGAACGCCTTCAAGCGCATGCTGACCATGGCACAATGGCTCCAGGCGACTTTAGTTTCGGGGACTTTGGCAGCACCTACACTTCACCCACCATCCCGTCCTTCCCCGACAGCCTAGGAAACCTGCAGCCCATCCAGCCTAACCCCCAGACCGCCTATCCGCCGCCCGTTTCTCAGCACCAGCCAGGGTATGTACCGTCCGCCCCCCGGATAGGGGGGGAGAAGCGCAAAGCTGAGCCCATTAGCCCCCCAAACCGCATGTTGAGTTTCGAGGAAGCTTCACGACTAGCTGCCGAGGAGGACAAGCGGAAACGCAACACCGCCGCCAGCGCTCGCTTCCGCATCAAGAAGAAGCAACGCGAGCAGGCCCTCGAGAAGTCGGCCAAGGAGATGACAGAGAAGGTCACTGCGCTAGAGGGACGCATATCAGCACTCGAGACGGAGAACAAGTGGCTCAAGAGCTTGGTGACGGAGAAGCACGGCGGCAAGGACGACATCCTCAAGAAGTTGTTGAAGGAGTTCTCCACTCAGGGCGTCAAGGCTGGACGGAGCGACGACAACAGCAAGGATAGCGACAGCTCCTCCGGTTCGAGCACAGCTGCCGACGACTCTGACAGCAAGAGGTCGACAAAAAAGAAGGACTAAAAATCAAGTAAGGCGGCGGCAGAGGAGGCTCGGACGGGGACCTGAATATATACCATCATCGATTGGGCGTTAAGTGTGTGTGAGCGGGCGGCGAACTCGAATTGTGTGCTTTTTAATGCGTGAGGATAAATCCCAGCGTATGTGGCTGGCGGAAGGGCAGGATCTCAGGGGGCGCGGGAGACGGGGAAAGTAAACGCACGTCGATGAATCCGAGACGCGATGGCTCATGATGTAATGAGTTTTCGATGCTCGGGAGAGACGAGCTTCTCTTTCTGACGGATACCCAGGATGCCATTTGCATTTTTCTGCGTTCATTTTGCTGTCTATATTGTTTGCTACCTCTCCGAGCAGTCTCAGCCTTGTATTGCAGTGAATTCCAAAAAGATGAACACTTCATTCCACATTGGTTCTATTACTCTGCCTTTGGTGCTGTAGATTCCTGGGAATTCTCCCCTCGCAGATTCGCTAGCCTCAACTGGTTCCTCTTGCCGAGGATACGCAGCGTGTTCTGACGCTCAAGATCGCACATCTCATTCCAGTTTGCAATCCGGCTGACCGTTCCATCTCTACCAATGACCATGGGGCCGAGCTTGTCCAGTGTCACGGCCGCGCCATTGACCTCGATCACCGTGTTGCCCTCCTCCCCTGTAGGCGCGGGCAACGCCGGTAGGGCTTTAGGTGCAGATGCCGACGCCGACTCCAACTCCGACGATGTGGAGGTCTCACCACCACCAACACCACTCTCCTTCTCAACCGCAGAAGCGTCCTCAACGGTGGGGTGGAGGCGCTCCGCTGGTGCAGCAGGGGCGGCCTCAGCCTGGCGCGCGGATGTCGAGCTCCCGGGGACCGGTGACGTGCTCGGTGCCTGTGCTTCTGCGGTGCTGCTGCTGGCGTTGCGTGCGGGGATCATCCTCACGTTTCCGTAGTGCTGTCGCGGGGAGTGGAAATAGCGGGAAAGAATTGCTGGTCGGACGAGACGACGGCAAATGAGGCCGGTGGGGGTCATACACGCGGTCCCGGTGATTATGGGGACGGCGGTTTGAGAGGTGAGGTTGCTGTGTAGGTATGTGTAGGGGTGGGTGAGGTTGGTGATTTGTCCGGGTGGTGTTGCAGCAAGTGAGATCGGGGCTTGAGACTAACTGCTAGCTGGTGATCGGATCGATGGTGAGAATGCGGGGAGGAGCGGTGTTGTTGGTGTTGCTGCGTTGTCTGTGTGGCCGTGGAGATTTTTTTTGGTGGTGTTGCGATGCGCCGGGATTGCGTGATAGCTTGGCGCGGATGTGGGATTTGGATTCACGATGTTTTTGGGGTTTACAGACTTCCGGTGCTCTTGCTGTCAATTTGCTCAGGATGCTTGCATCATGAGAACCGGCTTTGTGTTTTATCTTGGAGTTCTGGTACGAGTGTGGGTTGATGCTTTTTGCTTGGAAGGGTCTAGAAGAATCCCCAGGTTTTCATTGGTTTCTCCAAGGCTGTTCCTCGCTCTTTCCTTGTCAACAAACAACGTGAGCCCAGTTGAGGTTTTGCACCGGAAAGACGTCCTATCCGAATATCGTCATCTTCGAGAGAATTGAACCACATTTTTTATTTACATCGTCGTCGCATTGGGAGTGCCAGTATAGTAGATGCACGAAGACAGGCACACGACCCACTGCGCCAACACCCCTATTTGCGCCGCAGTGCGTCCTTCCAGCATAGGCAGGCGCATTTCAGCCCAGCGTCATCCAGCGCCTTGCACTATGCGAGGAGCTATCCCTTACTGTAACCTGTACCCGGCCATGCCATCGGCCGTCGAAATTGTGCCATCGCAACGGACACGGCCCCCCCTTTGGCTCTGGCCCACACAGGAGGGGGTGGCCGAGAGCCCAACCTGCAGGAATCTCAGGAACAATAACGTAACAGTTCCCGATGAAAGATGGTCGTTCCCGTCCAGGCCCAGACCGAACGGCCCTTCATCCCTCGCTGTCGAAGCCCGACGATAGCCACGTCGGTTCGCCGGCTATGCGCAGCTGTGGCCAGACGCAGGCTGGATCCCTCGCGGATTCTGTGCCCCCCTGAAAACAATGTGTCAACACTGCAGCTTCCGCTCACACTCTCTGCCGTTGCAGATGACCGACATCCTGCGGGCGTACTCGTGCCTCGGTGGTACTGTCCAGTTCGTCCCCCACGGAGCTGGCGGATGAAGCGGTTGATGGAACCGAACGGCATGAATCCGGCAAAGACTGGACTCTTGTGCCCCCATCAGACTTCCTGGCGCTGCCTCGAGCCGAGAGAACCCCGCGCGCTTGTCTCTGATCACTTTGGTCAGCTGAGAACTGTGGTTTACGTCCAGCCCAGCCTCCTCTTCCGGTGTGGGGGGCGGAAACGAAAGCCAGAGGCCCGAGGATCCCTGATTTGGCAGTAGGTCACACCTCTGACACGGCTGGCTGGCGCTCTGGCCCTCGAACGGAGGATCTGCTCTGCTCCGGGTCGACACTGATGCCCCATACGTCGTTTTCGACTGCCCTGAGACCAACAACTCGAGAGCTCGGAGACCACACTCTCCCCTTCGCTCCCCATGACTTCAACAAGCATAGAGAACCGAGAGGCACCCATCGAGGTAAAAGGCGACGAGATTCCAGCCTGGGTTGCCTATCTAGCATATTCCACCGAGAAAAATACAGGTCAACGTGGCCGAAACTGGCTGAGCATCACTCCAGCACCATCTCGAGAGTCACTGGGAACTATCTACCGTTAACGAATAGTGAGGTTACCATCCCTTTATTTCTGCTAAAGCACGACTCTCCAGGGACACAAACTCGCGCTCCCAAGGCAGGAAGGTTTCCACGCCGCGGTGTTTACCATTCGCACCGAGTCAACAATTCTGTAATACGCCACTCCTTGTCGAGACCGTCTAGCCCCCTGCCCCCACGATCCACGCCGAAGCCCCGAACTTTGTTCAGATTCAACGGCACCGCTACTTTTTAAATAAGAAACCAGCCACGACGGGAACAACCAGGGGCAAAAATAACGGCTTGCGGTTTATGTGGATCGAACACATGACCTTCAGATATCAAGGTTATTGATGGAATGAAGTTTATTTACTTCAGTCTGACGCTCTCCCAGCTAAGCTAAACCCGCATGTGCTGCTAATGTTGTGGGTAGGAATCATGGCTCGAGTAGACAGGTGCGGGTGAAATCGACGGCCGAGGCGGAGTCCTCGATTGCAAAATATCACTTTGTATGAACACAGAAGGCGGCCGCAACGGTCTTTACACATGGAGTGAATTCCGGCGAGGGGACAAGCTTTGCCGACGGGCAAATGGGCCGAAAACGGCCCTCGAGGTTATACTCAGGGGTTATTGTCTTTAGGGTCCAACGGTCCCTTTGCAGCTAGATCACTACCTACTGACACCCACAGCAAACAGTCCATCTAGTAACTCATTTACAAGATAAACAAAAACGGTGTTCTCTATCGATATCCTCCTTACTTCCGCTGCCATGGGGTTCAAACGTAAGCCCCCAGGAGCCCCGCTGCCCCCTTCCAGTCCAGACCTTCTCGAGTCATGACACCAACCCACACAATATCGAAAAGCGGGTTTAGCTCAGTTGGGAGAGCGTCAGACTGAAGTAACAACTTCATTGCATCAATATCCTTGATATCTGAAGGTCATGTGTTCGATCCACATAAACCGCAAGTACTTCTTTTTTTTGGCGTGTGTTGGGCCGCTCTCAACTGACACAGGGAGGGTGGATTCAATTCGATTAAGTTTTGCCTCTCGGGAGGAGGATTGAGAGTTTGACGTCGGGGTTGCTCTCCTTGAGTTAGCGATATGGCGAGGTGCAGTCGGGCTCTCTTTTGAGGCTTCCCATGCTTCCTTGCATCTGCTACTCAGCCATCGTGGAGGTCTATGGAAGCGGAATCGAGCTTTCTTACCCTCGGCGCCTGGTGACAAAAGCTCAAGAAGAAAGCAATGCGAAATGTGCGGACCAAGTACACGACTTTCAGAGGCTCTGTACGGTGCTTATCACTAGATGACTTGTGCCTCGACCTGACGCTCTCCCAACTGAGCTGAACCCGCTGTTGATACTAACAGAGCATAAAACTCGGCAGATATCGAGATAAACTCTCTGCGACTTTTCTAGTCTTTCCTAGCTTCATCCTACTTTCCCCTATCACCAGCACCTCTAGAGCTCAGATCGAGAGCCAACTCTCAACATTGGCAGCCCTCAAGCACCACCCACGATGCCCACAGAGCCACTCGTGCCCTCCGCACCGGGGCCGCTTCCCGAAGACGGACCTCCGCGCTTCTCAAGAGCTCTGAACTTGTTCACAACCCTCTCAATACCATCACATCCCTTCTCGAGCGTCTCCATCTTGGGCCCGTACGAAAAGCGAATGAAGTGGTGGCAGGGGCTGTCGAACAGGTCTCTGCGGCGGGCGGGGTTCAGATCGAAGAATATGCCGGGCACCACGATAGTTTTCTCTTCGAGGCAAGCCTGGAAGAAGTTGAGGCCGTCGGAGATGGGGCCGGGAAGGCCTTCAAGGTTGAGCCAAAGGTACTGGAAGATGTTAGCGGCGACCATGGTGGAGAGCTAGAGGATACGCACAAAGGTCGAATCAGGGACGAGCTTGATGGTGAACCCCATGGCACGCAGGCGACCTATAACGTAGTCACGTTTGTCACGGAAGTGGCGTTGGAGGGCGATCATCTCCCTCTTGACTAGCTCGGGCTCGAGCATGGGGATGGCAGCCTCTTGGAAGGGGACGTTAGTACCGCCGTCGAGGTAGGAACCGCAAGAGCCGATACTGGGATGTTGTTAGCTTCACGTTCCACCGGATGGCTATGGCTGGGAGGAACAGGGGCACCGACGCCTTGATGAACTCCTTAGGGCCAATAATCCAAGCCACGCGCCAACCAGGGAGACGAAAACGCTTTGTGAGACCGTCGATGATGAGAACGTCATCTTCGTCGACGTCGATAACATTTTCCTGCCGGCGTCGTTAGCGACTAAAGGTGGTGTTAGCTGTCACTGCAACTCACAGCGGCGCTGATGGTCGTTCCATCACAGTCTGAGGTGTAGTTGTAGCCGGCATAGAACTCGTCGCTGACGAGTGTGGCCCGCTCACGGCAGATATCCTGGATCTCGGCTAACTCTGGGTTGGCCACAACGCGCCCGGTGGGGTTGCGAGGGTTAGATGTGATGATGACACCAGTTCCGCGGGCAATCTCCTCGGCGATCTTGTTCGGGTGGATATGATATCCATCCTCTTCTGACAGCGGGACCGGGACGGCGGCGAAATTCTTGAACAGAGACAGCATCTCATTGTATGCTGTGTAGTCGGGGATGAAGAAGCCGACGTAGGCGTTGTTGAGAACGGCAGCGATACGAATCAGGCCAGCGCGACCACCAGGGACAATCGCCACGTTCTCCCAGGTGTACTGGCTGGGCTTGCCTTTTCGGTGCATTTCATTGTAGAGACGGGCGACGGCCTCTCTGAGGGGCTTGATGCCTGCTGTCGGTCCATACTCACGGCTGTCGGGGTTGAGCTCCAAGTGAGTCGGACGGGGAAAGCAGCCCTTGATGTCATCCTCGACCTTTACACCAAAATTGTCAGAATGGTCGATTGTCCCAAGCAAGACGGAACTTATACCTCAGGGGCGCCCTCTATTGGAAGATTTAGCATCAGTAATGCTGCCTGATGGAAACAAGAAAACAAGACTTACGACCTAGATTCGCCCACTTGTCGGGCTCATCGAAGAAGCCATGCTCACCCGCTCGCTCGGTACACCAAACGACTCCGGTTGATGCTCTAGTGGCATCGAGACCAGCGTGCGGGAGGTGGCCTTCATGGGCGGCTCTGAACTGGCGGTGAATCTTACTCGATGCCTCACTCAAACTCGGCTCCCCAACGGAAAACCGGCGACATGGCCTGGGAACGCCAGTGTTCCGGTTGATGCTGAATTTGCGGGCAAACGAAAACGACATGCTGGCGACTGCTTCTTCTTCTTCCAGCGCGGGCATAGCAACCAGATGAGCAATGAGTTTGCGGGGGCAAACTCGCGGCTGTATTTATACCCAAGAACCGACGGGAAGTTGGGGGCCAGCGGTGGACAAAGACTGGACCAAGGCGACGCGTTTCACAGCAGGTCAACGGTGAACCTTATGTCGCGCGCTGAAAAGTATAGATGAAGTGGGAGCACTTGGGACCGAAGCCGTAAGCCCAACCCAATGTCCTCCTTTTATCCTCACCGACCACAACGTTCCGGGCAGCGCCCAGCGCCCAGCAGCTAGAAAAACACCGCTGCGCACATTGCTATGCATGTCGGGCCTATCCGAGATCTAAGTGGCCAGTGAAACGTAGCTGGCTCATCTCACTGGGACTTATCTTGCCTTGCGTTCGGGTTGACAACATGTCAGAAATGCAGAGTTCGATTGGTGTGATTGCTCAACTCTCCGCTCCCCTATGGAGGTGCACGAGGGGGTTCGTTTGCCATCCCAACTTGGGTGTTGTTGGGCTGAAGAACACAAGAGGGGGCCCCGAACTGGCAGATAAGGTGCTCAAACGAGGTTGCGAAGGGAGTCGTCTTTTTGCCGCAGTTACTACAGGGCAAATTGAGGCGGAGAGCGAGTTTACATGTGTCAGCATTCTCTGAATCCGGGAGCCTGCGTTTGCGTGAGGTTGCTGGATGAATTGTGGTCGGCAATCTGCCCCACCATCGACAAGCTTTGGCAGGTCCCCTGCCAAGAACTCTGGGCCGCCTTCACCGCTGATCCAACCTGTGCGGGTACGTGACAAAATTGGTTGGCATTTTTGTACAGCAGTGAGGCCCCTAACAATTCCCTACTAGGCAAGGCATCTGAGGCAAACTGGTAATGCCTTGTGATCTGGACAGAAATGCCAATCAATTTTGTCAACCGCGTGGCGGGCTAGACTTGAAGAACTGTCTCGAGGGCACAAAGAGAGATGAGCGTCACGGAGCTTATGAGTGCCTGCCGCACCAATCAGGCCATCAAATCCTGGGCAGTCACCCGCGAATACTAAAGTGAGAAGAGGAAACGAAGCGAGGACGACCTCGGGAACTCTCTGCGGGCCCTGAGTTGTACGGTGACTAGCGGCTGGCATGGAAGCTGGCAAAACTTACCTCAACGGGTTCGAGTGTTCAATCTCGGCCACCAAGGAAGCCAGTAACTTGCGGTGACGGATCCTTGGCTGGACCTTCAACTAATCGAGCTGCCATGAGCGCAACCCCTCCGATGGCCTTACCTTACCAGCAATTGAGATTCCGAGCTCTCTGTAATGGGAGCCTTTGATCATGGAGGGTGTGACTCCCCGATTGAATGCTGGGAACACGGGATGTCGTTGCAACGGCCTCACATCCCGACGCACCAGTGTTTGACATGCAGTGGAAACTTCCGATGCGGTCAATGTTTCAACTAGCCACAGCGCCGATCTTCAGTCTGGCCGTTGTCTCAACGTCGATCCGTGTTTATGATCTCCGGGCTGCGTCAGACCGATGCGGACCTGTGATCGAGCATGGGTTTGCACCACCGACCAACTGGGCAAGGTTGCCGTGATTATTCTCTTCCGGCGAGCGAGATGTGAGGCTGGCGGTCATCGCGGCTTTTTGCTCTCCCCGGACCCGGTAATTTGATGCCAAGCCTGCCGAGGGACCGATGCCAAGCCCACGGTTGGTGTAAGTCGCGTGACCGCGTAAAGTGGTTTTATTTTCCGCTGAGCGGCCCAGCGGTAAAGTGTGACGTCTGCAGGATGCACTGCCCTTGCCGAACACATGCCAAATTTTCAAGGTGAAAAGGGCAGAAACCATCGAGAGATCGCTGTGAAGAGGAATGTGTAATGAGAGACGTCAGAATCCACCTGACGGATTTTGACCATATCGCCCGTGTTCCGTAATTACGAGTCCAGCACCACCTCCAGGACGAGGGGGCCTGTCGGTGCGACCCCTCTCGTCGACTTTGCTGAGCGACTCCCACTCGACAACGCAGCCAAGAAGCCAAGCAAGCGACGGTGGCAAGCGATCGCCCTTTTCTCAACGCGGCCGCCCAGTCTTTTGACAGTCCGCCCGAACAAGAACGGGCAGCGCCGAAGCACTCTGGTTGCCAAATAAATACTGACC